CTTAGAGGAATGCACCTAGTCCGGAGTCCATTTTATGCATGATCATTTCTAAAGTCGGACCGTGGACGGGGTACATTCCCACACGTTTCGCCGGCATCGTACTCGGCGTTAGTGGGTCTCGCCAATCTCAGCACCACACTACAACTCTTCAGAGATAAGTGAAGCCCGTCCTTAAATAAAATGTATGCTTAACAGTTGTTATATCTTTTCTGTCTTGGGCTATTCACTTATCCTATATCTTCGTATCACGCCTTCACTATCACATTTTTCTTGCTTATTTAAATGTAGTGTGGTGTGCCCTTTTGAGCGGCTTTCATATTAACCCTCCACCTTACACACTGGCATTCTCACCCCCTTCACTCTTCTGCTGGGAATTTTGATCAGAGTCTGCCATATTCATAGGCAGTCCTCCTTCCCCTAGGTCCTTTCATAGTTTCCCTCTTACTTCGTATGATCCGTCTGCTATCACCTTGGTTCAAGTATTTCACTCGACTCCTGCCACCCCATCTGTGCCCTACGAAGCGTTATTACCCGCACTATGCGTCTGATAGACTAATGTAAACCTAATCAAAGCAAGCACTACCACAACATTGGTGGGTTGGCGGACAAGAGTCTAGGTAATAGCAATTCATAGAGTTGGTATTAGGGGTATAAACAGTATAAAAATTAGCTAAAAGTATGCCTGATTTACTATTTACGTGGTCCATGAAGCAAAGGCTTGACGACGAGAATTTCTCAGGGTCTTTAATCTCAAATTAGTCTAGCAGACACATAGTGTGGGAAATAACGCTTTATGGAGCACGGATGGAGTGGCAGGGGTCGATTAAAATACTTGAACCAGAGGGATAACAGACGGATACTTCGGGGCAAGAGGAAGACTCTGATAAGACATAGGGAAATAGGACTGCGTAACAATATGGCAGTCTCTGGTCAACATTCCCAGCACAGGGGTGGAGGGTTCTCATGACAGCAGCTCAAAAGGGCACACCACACTACATTTAAATAAGGAAGGAAAAAATTGTGATAGTGTAGGCGTGATACGAGGATATAGGATAAGTGTATATCCCAGGACGGGAGAGGTATCACAACTGCTTAGCCCACATTTAGTCAAAGGATCGGCTTCCCTTGTCTTTTTGACGAGTTGTAGTGTGATGCTAAGAATGGCAAGATTCACTGACGATGCCAATGGAACGTCTGGGAATATACCACATCCACGGTCCGACTGGAAATTATCATGCATACCATGGACTCCGGACTAGGTGCGCTCCTCTAAGTCTTTCTTCAATATGACCAAGTTGCAAAAACAACGTCAAACAACTTCTATACAACGAAAGGAGACTGCGACCACTCAAAAGGTTACAGAATTTTGTTCTTATTAAACATTTATAACTTGAGTATAGGCCATAATTTGAAATATTAGATTTAATTGTCCTACAGTGTTGAATGCTGATTAAGCATATTTCATATTTTTGCGACCTTAACGATGAGGCTGCGTAGACACTGACCAGAATATACAATTAAGTTAACTTTTTATTCTCTACACTTAAGTTTAATTGTAGGAAATCTTTTCATTGCATCGTATCCTCGAAATATTCTTGATGCATTCATAGTGAAAATACTCAAGAGTTTATATTTAGCACTTTCTATGTTTTTTTTATTGCAAAAGGAGTAGAGTTAATAAAAATATGCATTTATTGAATAGTCTAGATTTTTGTTTTAAACATTTTTAATCGATCTAAGTGTTTTTTTGCACCTTACTGTTTTTTAAACCTGAATTTACATTTCCTGAGTGTCGGCATTGAGTGGAATGCTATTTTATTCATATTTTGGCATTAGATAACACTATTCGTTTCTTTTATATCTGTGTTCGGGAGAAATTTATATTTTGCCAGTTACTTGTTCAGTCTAGCCATTTTATATTTATTTGGGCCACGAGGCTGTTACATATTAAAGTGAAAAGGATGGGATCAAGCAGCCATGTTGCCTGTTAATAGTTGAAATGCGTAATTGAGTAATCTAGCTCAAGTCATTCTAGAATTTCATACCTTCTCTGGATGGAGACGATCATTACTTTTTTCATCTCGTCCTTAATTTGCTTCCGCAATTATTTCTTTTAATGAATATTTATTTCTTCATTTTCTGTTTATTCAGCCCTCATTGTCTATGTGCCCCCCACCTCCACCTGGTTTCCAAGTCACTTACAGTATGGATAATGATAAAGCTCGTTTCAATACTGAACTGTCATCGCCCATGCTCAGGTCTGCTGGTTCTAGAGCTCGACCCCATTCTTCCATAGCCTGTTCCTCTTGCTCGCAGGTTTACTATAGTGAGCCGAGTTCTTCTACCATCACTACTGCCACCAATTCAGCGCCCCATTCGTGTACACTTCACATATCGTCGACCAGCGATGTGTCATTACCAATTCAATCTGTAACTTCAGCTGAAGAGAATTTCAATTCTGTCG